ACTGATGTGATGTCCCAGCACTGAGGATACACAGCAAGCTCAGAGTGAGGCCACCAGTGCTGTTGTAAATCCACAGCCTGGGCATGGGTCAGAGCATGAGCTGTCGCTGCACGGCGCACCCAGGTTGACAGAGACTGCTCAGGGTGGGGTGTAACAAGCAATTTCCCCTTGTTATAAGGAGGCAAAAGTATATTACCAGCTTCAAGTGAAAATAATGGAGCATAAAAATGTTTCACTTCATAAGAAGAAATAATTTCATGCTATTTGATTTTTCTGCCAATGTGAGCACCTGGGTCCTCCATCAGTCTCTGAAAAAATACATTCCAGCTTCAACCGGCTAACAATTGAAAATCAGCATGAGAGAGAAAACTCATTCAGCCATCAGAACCGGAATTTCATTTCAGATATCCAGGGCCTATTTCTCATAATATATATGGTTTAGTTTTCATAGTGTCAGCAATAACATGAACATTATTAACCTCTTCTGCATTTGCTATGATAAATAACCGATAAATTATTACAGAGCCAAGGCTCGGAGCTGGAGTCTGGAAAGATGGCCCAGCAGTTCAGAGCACTCGCTGCTCCCTCAGCGGAACCAGGTTCAGTTCCTGGCACCCACATCACGTGGCTCACTGCTGCCTGGAGCTTCAGTGCTAGGAATGCTGGGAACTTTTTGCAGACTTTCCAATCACCTGCATACCCGTGTTGCACATCCATACACTCAGGTACATGCACAAACACATAAAATAATAAATAAATCTGTCTTTAAAAATTCAGAGCTGGTGGTTGAGCTCAGAAGTAGAATTCTCGCCTAGCACGTGCAAAGCCCTAGATCCAATGTCTACAATTATAAAAAAATATATATATAATAAACATAGAAATTTAAGTCATTAGCAAATAATATTGTATATTCATTTGTTTTCGAACTCAGCATATCCTTATTTTCAGAAGCACATATAATTTTGTATGGATTAGCAACAGGTGACTTGGTTCAATGTTCAGGATCAATTGTAATGGAGAAGAGAATTTGTTTACAGACATAAAAACAAAAACAGCTAAGACCTCACACTATTACCTACAGCATTAGTAGCGGGTTACTAAAAGTGGTCATAAAATGACAGAAATAAACATTTTATTTCTTCAGAAGAATTTTATATTCATGGTCTAGACTAATCCCAGTTTCATCCTCATGAGTCTATCTTTCTTTTGTTTTGTTTTCAAGACAGGGTCTCTCTGCGTAGCCCTGGACGTTGTAGAACTCGATCTGTAGACCAGGCTGACCTCGAACTCAGAGCCACCTGCCTCTGAGGGCTGGGATTAAAGGAGACCATGCCCAGCTTCCATGCTTCAGGGACTGTGAAGAACAATCTCCTGTTGACACTGGTCCAACTCAACAGGGGCTGAGATGCCCACACCACCATTTTAGCTAGACTCAGCCTGATTGGCCTTGGGTTTCGCTTTCAGTACTGCCACTAACTTATTCTGTGGTTCAGATGTGTGTCTGTCTGTCCATCTGCCTGTCTCTGGTTCTAGTGACTGGAGTGGGACTTGCACATGCTAAGCACCTACTTTGCCAAAGAGCTACATCCCCAGTCCTATGCAGGTGGTTTAACCTATATTGTGAAAGGACAGTGATAACCTACTTATAGACAACAAATAAGCAGGAAAACAAACTAACGCACGTGAAAATTCTCTGGAAAATTGTAAAATCAAATACAAATGTGAATTTAAGTCTGACCCGTGGTCACACAGTGAGACCCTTATGTTCCTAGGGGCCTGTAATTTCTCGACCCTTTGTTACTGGCTCCAATCCTGGAGGAAGAACCTCTTTTTCTTTTGCACATCATTAAAAAATAAGAGCCAAAACCTGTGACTTTGATTTTTTTTTTCCTAGCATGTGGCCAGAGGAAGCCTTTTGTCGGCTAGTTGGGAGTTTGCAACCTTGAAAGAGGAAATCTGAATTCTACCTGAGTGAAGGATGGGACAACAGGGAGAACAGGAAATCCTGTGATCTCCTTCCTGGTTTTCAAGGGAACCAAAGATAATAATCACCTCCTAGAGCACAGGAGGGAAGAAGGCTGGTTGTAGGGGAGGCTTCAGCTGCTTAAAACCTATCTGTAGTGGCAAATGCTGCAGCAGAAGCCACGCTGCTTTTTCCAGACCTAAGAGATGGCAGATGAAGGATCTTGCCACCCTGGAGATGTCTCTTTATAAAGTTTCCTTGGCCTAGAGATTGCTGCCTCCTGCTTTTTTGTCCTGTTTTATAGAGGTCATTTCTGGAGAGGTCTTCCAAGCCAGTGTCATCCCTATAACAGGCCTGGGTAAAAACTTTGAGAGCATTGAACTTTCCCATCATAGGCCTTCATTAATGGGGTGTCGATTCATCATTGCGACTGTTTTCTGTTGTGTCCTCACTCCTCTCCGATAAGCTCCCAGAGGACAGAGAAGGGTTTGATTTCATAACATCCAGGAGTGGGACAGAGTGTCTAGCTCAGAGAAGGGCCCACATTAAATATTTACTGAGTAGTGATGGAAGAAATATGATAAAATTAAAAAAAAAAGCCTCCAATGCAGACCATCTCAGGTCACAAATCATTTCTAGGAAGGCATATTTATGCAAATATCCGTAAAATCCTTAATTAGCTGTTATTCAGGGAGGACTTATTACAAGGGAAGGGACTCCACAAAAGGGGGTATTTAATAAATCAATTACAGCAATGTAATAGCAGTAGGTAGGAACAGGCTGCATATGCTAAGAGCTTCTTACAGACAGGATCGTTGACACTTCCTAAGTGCCCATGCCTAGACATTTTGAAGAAGGGACATGAAAAGGTTAGGGTTTTTGTGTCTCTGGCCTGAAGGCAAGAGCCCCTAGTCAGCAGACAGAAGGAAGGAAATGTGTCCTTCTGCCCCAGTGTGATGTGCTGGAAGGGGTTTCATGCTTGGATACACTTGGTTTGTCTCAAACTATCAGGACAACTTCCAGGAACACGTATACCACTGCAAGTAGCTCAGTTCATGTTCTTAATTTAAGTGTGTGTGTGTGTGTGTGTGTGTGTGTGTGTGTGCGTGCGCGCGTGCCTGTTTGTGTGTACATGCATTTGTAAGTATACATGCGTGTGTATGCATTTGTAAGCCATAGGTTGACATCAAGTGTCTTCCCTGGTAGTTTGCCACCTTATTTTTGGAGAGTCTTTTGTTAAACCCAGAGCTCACTAATTTGGCTACGCAGCTGCCTAGCAAACCGTGGGCTCTGCCTTCTTCCACCTCCTCAGACATGTGCTGTGCCACCCAGCTTTTTACGTGGCTGCAGGGGATCCAAACTCAGTTTCTCATGCTCTCACAGGAATAATTTCTGTCATCCCCCAGCCCATAATGTTCTTAGTTTTTAGCAAGCTACATTCCAACACACCTAAGACAGCCACCGTCTTAGGGTTTCTATTGCTGGGAAGAGACACTGTGGCCATGTAAACTCTTTTAAGGAGAACATTTAATTGAGGGGGGTCACTTAAAGTTTCAGAGGTTCCGTTCATGATCATCACACAGGCGAGCATGGCGGCAAGCATGGTGGTGTGCAGGTAGATGTGGTCCTGGAGTAGCTTAGAGTCCTACCTCTTGAAGGCAACAGGAAGTGGACTCAATCACACTGAGCAAAGCTTGAGCCAAAGAGACCTCAAAGCCTGCCCCCGGAAGTGACACACTTCCTCCAACAAGACCACACCTCCTCCACCAAGACCACACCTCCTAATAGTGCCACTTCCTATGAGTTTATGAGGCCCAGTTCCATTCAAACCACCACAGTCATCTTTCACTATCTGTTTTCCCCCTTCTCCTATGCGCTGAGTAACACAATCCGGTGCAAACCGTAACAAGATGCACTCTTTCCTATGGAACGTGTAATTAACTTCTGTCTTCCTCACTAAATGGCTTGCTCTAGTTATACGTTAGACACACTTTTTTTAAAAAAAAAAAAAAGAATCGAGTAATGAACAACGCTCTTGTGAGACTTTACAGGTGCTAGGATTTCTTTTCTTCCCTTGAGAGGGTTGCACGCGATAAATTACGCAGCAAATAATGACGGACTAAGCGAGAGTGAGCGCTGAGAGACTAAAGAGGAGGTAGCTCCTGTAGAGGGGTCTCATGGATGGCGTTTTGGGGATCAGTTTGGAAAGCAAAAACAAAAACTCCATCCCACACTCACTTCCCAGGGCTCATTCTTTGCTTTGTGCAAGCAAGGCTTCTCAATGTTTTATTGTATGCCAGGCCCTATGTTCTTTAACTGTGCCCTAAAATTCTGCAGACAAATTATAACTCATTAAAAAAAGACAGAAATAAAATAATTTATGCTGTTGTTTAGGAACCAGGGAGATGGCTCAAACTGTAAAGTGTCTGCTGACCAGGCCAGAAATGTGAATTTGATTCCTGGGACCTACATGGGTGAAGGAGAGAATAGACCCCTTCCCCCCCAAAGTAAATAAAATGTATCCCTTCCCCCAAAATAAATATATAAAATCTAACTTAAAATTTAATGCTTTTGTTTTAAATCAACACCAAGCAGGCACCCTCCTTCCTCATCAGCCACACAACTCCCAGCACCTGCTCCTTCTGCCATTGCTTCTGCTATGCCCAGCAGAAATCCCTAGACCTTGGATTCTAAAAGCCTAGAGGGACAACTTGTATTCCTCTCATTTTATACTCCCCGTCCATCTCAAGCCAGAGGTTTCCCTTAGCCCTGAGAGTATCTGAACTGCGCCAGTTTTATTTTTGTTTTGGGAAAGGCATGAAGAAGGAAGACATTTGACATTTGTTTTCTCCATGAATCTCGTCCTAGCTCTGTTCAGTTGAAAGAGGTATGCAGAACTGGGGTCACTCCATTCTTGGGAGGTATTGGTTTTTTAAATGTATTTTATCAATTATGGTGAGCATCCAGCAGGGCTCCCTGAATACAGAACACACTTAGTATACATTTTCAGTGTCAATTCGGCAAGAGAACAGGGAACAGAAACCAGCACAACCGGCGGTGACTCAGAACAAATCTCTTCTATCTCCCTGCCTGGCTATAGTTGACAACATTGTGAACTAAGCTGTTCAGTACTCCCCGTAAAGGATGGCCTGAGAAATGCTTTGACTTCACAAAAACTTAAAAAAAAAAAACCTGTGCTCAAGGACACACTCTTGTCAGAGTGACACTTAGACACTTCTCCAGGAAGAGAAAGCATCATTTTGGAGTTGAAGCAAAGCAAGGTGTTCCCACCAAAAGAAGTTCTAGGAAAGTCTTCCTGTAGGCAGGGTGCGGCCCATCTCCATCGACCCAGCCCCCACCCATCCCAGTCTTGGTTTGTTTCTCTTTTCAGGAGAGAAAGCTTGGATCAGAGCTAGGTCTGTATGGTCTTGCTCTGTTCTTTGACTTTTTTTTTCTTTTTTCGCACAACGACCTTGAAATTTCCCCGCATTAGTTTTTTCTCTTCAGGGAGTCCCTCCTGGGTAAGTGTTGTCTTTTTTATACTGCCTCCATCAAAGTGGCTTCTTCAGGGTGATCCACCACCCTACCGATGTGTCCCATGGGTCTGGGTGCCCTGAGACTTTCCCAGAGGTTGGTGGCACTAAGGTAAACTGATCCAAGTACTAAGTGGAAACCCGCTGACGTCCTTTAAAGTCAGACTTTACAAACACGGAATAACCTTGAAAAAGACCTTCACGTTCTGCTCAGGAACTTGGCCAGCCGCTTACCTCTCCCCTCCGGATCATTCATTTATGCTGCAGGAGAGGGCTCTTTGCACCCTGCAGCTCCAATCCCTGCCCTCCAGTCTGGGCATGGCAGAGCGGAGGGCTGGGTCGAGTAAGCCTCTGAGAAACAAGGGTCTTCTCCCTTCTCCTTAGCGAGCTGGGCTCACCTCCACAGAGTGCTTCTCTGTCCTTCTGGGGCTACTTCTGTGGCTGTAACTTGAACCTCTCCGAAGAATTCTTACCTGTTCTGGAGTTTCTTAGGGTCCTGGCTCCCCAACAACCTGGACCTACCTGTCATCCAGCAGTTCCCACCCCGGAACCCTAGGGCAGCAATCGGGCTGCCCTGGCCATTAATGGCCATCATCCATTTTTAATCAGAAAGATCACAAGAAAGATGGTAAGCGAAACCCGGTCGCGAGTCAATTTAAATAATATTCCTGGGGAAATCCAATCACTTAAAACGGAGACACCTACACTGGTGAGAGAGCGCCCCGCCCGTCTGGCGGGGAAGAGCGCGCCGGCTGAATTAATCAAGATCAAGGGGCTCCCGAGCTGAGAGCTCACTCAGCCTTAACCCTTCCAGCGCCGCGGGGTGCCCCGGTGCCGGAGGAAGAGCGCGGCGGGCGACGGCCGAGATGCCCAGAGTGACCCCGCACAGGCCATCTCTGCTGATCCCCGCGTCTTCGCACCCCAACGCCCGGCAGCTCGGCACCCCAACTCGAGGTCAGGGGAGAGCTCCCGAGGTGGCTTCGGCAGTGAGCAACAGCCGCCTCCCGCTGCCTCAGCGCGCCCCGGGCTCCTCCTCCCGCCCCAGCGTGGCCAAGTGAGCACCGCTCGGGCCGCAGGTAGCCGGGGCACGGGAGGTGGCGCGCGCGGGACCCATCGCAGCGCCCAGCCGCGCTGCCAGACGAAGCTCCGATCCTCGCGGTCACGGACGCCGGCGGAGATCTCTGCACCGGCCATGTGGGGCCCGGGGGTCACGGCCGAGGGCCTGTCGATGGCTCCAGCGCCACCGCCACTGCTACCGCTGCTACTGCTGCTCGCGCTGGCGCTAGTGGCGCCCTCGCGGGGCGGCGGGGGCTGCGCGGATCTGGCGTGCGGCGAGCGGGAGCGCTGCTGCGACTCGGCCAACGCCACGGCCGTGCGCTGCTGCAAGCTACCGCTCCACGCCTTCCTGGACAACGTGGGCTGGTTCGTCCGCAAGCTTTCTGGGCTGCTCATCCTGCTGGTGCTCTTCGCCATCGGCTACTTCCTGCAGCGCATCATCTGTCCCAGCCCACGCAGGTACCCGCGTGGCCAGGCGCGTCCTGGCCAGGCACGACCCGGGCCTGCCGGGGGATCCGGGCCGCCGGGGACCGCGGGGCCACCCGACGACGACGACGACTCGCCTGCTCTGTTGCGCGATGAAGTGGCCGCGGGCTCGCAGGACTCACTGCTGGACAGTGGCGGCGGCCGGGGCCGAGGAGGTGGGGGACGTCTGCCTCCTGCCTGCGTTTCCGAGCACGAGCTGCGAGTGGTGTCGCCGGTCTTCCTTCAGCTGCCCAGTTACGAGGAGGTCAAATACCTGCCCACCTATGAGGAGTCCATGCGGCTGCAGCAGCTCAACCCTGCGGAGGTCGTTTTGCCCGTGTCGGTGCTCGGGCATCCGCGAGGCGGTAGTGCCGGCGACCCCGACGGCGACCAGGGCCGCTTCCCGCTTATCTGAACGCCCGGAACCTCACAGGGATCAACGGGATCGTACGAGGCTGGGGGCTGTGTGTGGCACGCAACAACTGATGTGTTGGCGGTTGCCCCTGGCTGCCTCTGACCATACCTAGTATCCCCGCACAACCTGTAGCCCTGCGCCTGGGTTGGGGTCAGTCCCCTCCCTCTCACTCCCTGGGGATCCTGTGTTTTTCTATGTTTCTTTGGACTCAAGGTTGGCAGCTCGGCGAGGGCGACGGCTTTGGACCAGCTAGCAGCTCCTCCTGGACACCCGTCCCCGCCCTCTGCCAATGCCTCCCCTTGTGTTCACTGTAAGTGCCTGCTTCTCCAATCCAAAAGAACACGTTAACCTTTGGTGTGTCTATAGAACCGCGGCTTGCTTTATGTCCGAAAAGGAAGGAGCACAGGTCCTTTCCTTGCGCTTCTGCTTGGACGGGTCCCAGTCTCCCCGGACTGGAAGGTGAGGCCTTTGGCTCTGGGCCACGACCAGTGACTGCTGCATGCGGGTTTGTGGAGGCAGCGCTTGGCTGTGATGGGATCCCTTTCTTGAGAAAGACCCCAGAAAACCCTTTGGTGTCTTCCTAGCCAATCAAATAGTCACTGCTGATGGCTCACAGTTCAGTGTGGGGGAGGGATATCATCATGGATAAAAGGTTTAGTTGCAGCAAGATGTAGCAACTAATTAATCCAGACCGGATTTGTAATCTGGTACCGATGAACTTTTGGGTTTTGTCAGTTAGGTGTTTGTCTTTTATTTTTATATTTTATCATGCACTAAACACATCGGGAAGGTAGTTCAACAAATTGGCAGGGTAATCACCGTTCTGTTTTAGACCCGTAACCATCAAGAAGGCGCCCACAATCTGCCATTGCTTAAAACGGTGTTGGACATTATTTCATTAAAGGTGTGGGGGATGGTCAAACAGGAAATGTGACATAAAAGATGGAGGATATCTTATTTTCACTATTTGAGAATATAGTTTATTTTTAGTACCGAAGCATAATACATAACTTTTATAATAACTGTGTACATTGTGTAGTCTGGGTCTTAACTGTATCATGGAAGTATGTTTAAAAAGGCCATTGGAACATGTATGACACACCATGAAGCAAGATGGCTTGCCAGTATGTCCTTCTCTATGTTTTGTTTAGGATACATTCTGCAACATGATTCCAAACATAAGAAACAGAATTGTAACTTTTGTTTAGACCTGTAACTTTGCAGTAATGTGCAAAGAAGAATTTGCCCAACCTATCTTTATTAAAAATTAAGCAGTATCATTTTACTAGTTCTGGGACATCCCCTTTAAGTAATAAGACACATTTTAATGCATCATATAGTATACATATGGAATCATCAATGTACAACGTATACATTGTATGCCACATAGCTATCACAGTGTACCGCTAGCATGAGTGGAAGAGGTGGAAAGGAATGCCACTTTCCCTGGAGAAGTGTGAACAACACCAATTGTCAAGAGAGATTATTCACTGGGTCTATGAAGAAGCTGAGCAGGCCTAGAAAATCTTCAAGTGTCTGATTTGCATTTTTAAAAAAAGATTTGATTACTTTTAACTTTTAAAGACTGATTGAAAATGTCTGACGTCCTGGGAAATATTTTTAATGTATGAATTATAATAAATGGTTTGCTTTAAAGTTCTCCAAGCTAATGACCCTATCATTGAAGAAAACCATTTGAAGTGCATTAAAACAGAAAAAAAAAACTAAAATATTTCTGTGTGTATTTTTTCTTCTTTTTTTTAGAGACAGGATCTCAGTTTATAAACCAGGTTGATCTGGGACTTACTCGCTCTACAATCCAGGCTGGTCTCAACTGTGCCTCAGTCTTTGATGCCCCTGCCTCCCAAGTCCTGAGATTGTAGGTGTGGGCCACCATAACTGGCTCTTCGTGCAAGTTTATTTAGTGTATGACTATAGAGTAGCATATTAAAATATGAAATATGTATCTCTTGTTTAAAAGCAATTTTAAACTGTCAACTGACAAACAGAAAGCATTAGGAGTTAAGATTCTACTATTTGAAAACAATACAAGATTTAATCAAACATAATTACACTGCATTATATATTTATGTTACTCAGATGTGGAAAATTTGTGTTACATGTGGCTATCCATACAATTAATACCAAAAAAAATGAGTTGAATTTTAGGCCATTTATATCTTGGCCAAATATATCCATGAGCGCTGTGTTTTCCAGAAAAGGCTCAGGCCTTTTCTTCTCATCAATAATAATAATTCCAAATATTACTGGTAGCTCATCTGGAATGTAGAAGTCTACATGCTAGATAAACACATGTGTTACATACACATAATGTACATGGGTTAATCACTAGCTGTGTAAATGCAATTTGTTCTGGGAGTTCGAGAATCACAACTAAAGGGTAAATGTCTTCTCGAGATACAATGAGTTTTAAAAAGCCATTAATTGCTGCATCCAGCAAACGCAGGGTGCTCCAGCCGTGGTAAATGGCATTGGCGATTCTGCCAAAGGGCATAAGGTGTGCTATATAAGGAAGAGGAGATTCAATTGTAAAGGCCAACGGGATTACGAAGGAAATGGCCTCCCTCAACGGTTTAAAAGGCAATATGCTAAGTACCTTGATGTCCTTTTTCGTATACCGCTTCTCTCGAGAGGAATTAATAAGCAATTTGGAGCTGAAACTGATACATTATAAGCACAAAGATGATGTTCAGATCCATACAATATTCCGAAATGACTTTTCATAAGTTGAAAATAACTCGACGTCCTTGTTGAGAGCAACAGGCATGTGCGTTGGATTTTGAGTAGCAAGCCTTAACCACCTCTCCAAAGTGACTCGAGAATCCCATTAGCAGTAGCACAAACAACCCTTCCTTTCATGAGGTCAATCACAGAGAAATTGTGGCACTTACTCCCTTTCAAAATCAGCTGTTAAATAAACCAGTACCTTGGTTATTCACAAAATCATATAGAACCAGATATTCTTTATATACTTTTACTTACAAAATTTACTTTTAATTTTGTCACAAAAATTACATTATAGCGGGGTACGACACTTAGTGCATGTCAGTAACCCAAATAGTACCAGCATCCCCCTGAACTTAATTAAATGGGGTTAAATATCCCCACTGTTCTGGTATCTCGTACTTCTCTCCTGTGCTCTTCGCTTGCTCTGAGCTGTCTCTAGAAGGCTTCTTTAGAGGCCCTTCCACAGGGTCCTCACCGCTGTGAGGGTCCAACAGCATTCTAGTTACTACTGCATCGTTTGTACGGAACTCTTACAAATCAGATTCTTTCTAGAATTTTCTTTGTTTACTCTTTGCATCTGACTTCTGTAGGCTTGTACTTTGAGCCAAGAAGTTTTTCCTCTTTATCCATTAAAGGGCTATCAACTTTTTTCCTCTTTGATTTTTATGTATAGAACGCTCTCTGCCACTCTGGGTAAATGGGGTCTTAGTGTTTCTAGCACAACGCACCCTGACATCTGTCTCTTTGTTGTCTCTCACCTAGGGATGGTGGAAAAGATGGTCAACACTTCTCCCAATTTTGCTCCAAATACACGTTCTTTGCTGTGTTGGGGGAAAGAATTTGATCTTTGCATTTTCTTCATAACAGGGACCTTATTTTGCTTCCAAACTATCAAATAGAGATATATGTATATTGCTTCTTCATAGACTGATGTATCTTTCTGCTCAGTTTTTCTCAGTCAGCTTTGTGGTTCCCTTGGTGCATACTGTTTTATGTAAGTAACAGTAAACCACCTTGGCTTGCCAATAGTCTATTTGTTGCACTGGAGAAAGGATCCCGTCCTCCTGTTTGCTATATGAAGCCTAGAGAGCTCCAAAGTAACTTGATTTAGGATGCTTGCTGTCTCTTGCATACTTTATCATGTTCTTCAGAAAGCTTTTCCGAGTATCTGTTTTATTGGCTAGACTAGAAATTACCCCTGCCTGTTTCCTATGCTTCTACATGATCTTACAATTTTAATAATCTCATTAAGATTTTATCTTTTGCCTCTTTGTTGGTCATATTTAGTTCACGAGATAATGGAATTAGAACCTTCCAGATATATTCATTTGTATTTTTCTTATCGACCAAAGATGTTACCAGATCAAAATTAATTTTGGTTATTTTTCTAGGTCTTAAAAGTGTTGTCTCTTGAGTTGGGCAGTGCGTGTCTTTAATCCCAGCACTTGGAAGGCAGAGAACCGCAGATTTCTGTGAGTTTGAGGCCAGCCTGGTCTACAAGAGCTAGTTCTAGGACAAGCTCCAAAAGCTACAAGGAAACCCTGTCTCAAAAAATGAACAATCTAGTGTCAACTCTTAATTTATAGGCTTAACTTTGATGCAAACTCTTTGTTTTAGTTTGCTTTCTATGGCTACAATAAACACCATAACCAAAGCAGTTTGGAGAGAAAGGGGTTTATTTGACCAGAAGTCCTATCCAGGTCACAGTGAGTCTCTGAGGTAAATAGGGACAGGAACTCAGGAGGAGTAGAGGCAAGAACCATGGAGGAAAGCTGCCTTCTGGCTTCCTCCTTGTGGCTCTCCTAGCTGGCTTTTTATACAGTGCAGGACCACCAGCCCAGGAGTGCGACCACCCACAGTGGGATAGCAATCATTAATAAAGAAAAATGCCCCCCACTGACTTGTTCACAGGCAATCCGTTTGATGCGAACAGTTTCTCAATTGAGGGTCCCTCTTCCCAGATGACTGTAGTGTATGTCACGTTGATAAAAACAAACAAACAAAGCAAGCTAGCCAGGATACTCTCCAGCAGACTGTCATATTCCTAGACACACAGGTCCAGTTAGACTAGCCGGCTACCAGGAGAAAATAACTATTTTAGCTAAGAGATGGACTTGTAGAAATAGCATTCTTGACTCATCCACACTTTCTATAGCTTACAATAGAATAGATACAGGGGTGTTTACAAAGAGCACATTCTAGATAAGACATCCTGAAAACAACATAAAATCTAAGGTGAAGGGAAGCATAGTTAGAAGGTTGGGGCCCACCTTGACTCTGGATGTTCTAGGTGGAAACACAAAGAAAGAATCCTATCTGCTAAAAGACTTAAAACACTGAACACATCAAATAAACCCAGATTCGTATTTGAGGAGAATCACAGGGGACTAGAAACTGGAGGGTCGGAAGCTTGTGGAGGTTCTCATAAAAAAGACACTGTAGAGTCAGGGCTAACATGTGTAAAACTCTCTACAGTAAGCACATGAATGGGGCTTCTCAAAATTACATCCTCACTGTAGGCCAATGGCGTACCATGGGCACTGACCAAAGGGAAGCCATTTCTCAAGAGATGCAAATAACCCAGTCCTGAAGTTCTAACCCTGGATCCTTCAGCCCAACCAACAAACATATTCTATCATTATCTGAAAAGTGGGTAGCTGACACTAACTTTCAAATCCCTCCCCATAAACAATATTTCTCCCAACCTTCATAAAAGTCATATTTTGAGCCAGGCGGTGGTGACACACGCCTTTAATCCAGCACTCGGGAGGCAGAGGCAGGCGGATCTCTGTGAGTTTGAGGCCTGCCAGGCCGTGGTAGTGCACGCCTTTAATCCCAGCACTCGGGAGGCAGAGGCAGGTGGATTGCTGTGAGTTTGAGGCCAATCTATTCTATAAGAGCTAGTTCCAGAACAGGCTCCAAAGTTACAATGAAACCCTGTCTCAAAAAAAAAAAACCCAACAACAACAACATCATATTTTGTTGCCTTTTCAACACTTCCTAGAGAAAATGCATTTTTAAAATTCATTTGTGCCACTAAACTTTTGTTTTCTTTTCTATTTTAAAACAGGTCTCACTATAGAGATTAGGTTGACTTCATGCTTGTAATGCCCCTGCCTCAGCCTCCCCTGTGCTAGGATAGGCATGGGCCACCACACCTAGATACAGTCTAACTTTATGGTAGAAGTATGGAGCCTCTTGGTTTATGAATTCTGATTCACTGATTTCTTATAGAAGGAAATATATTTATTTGCTCACTGCAAATAGTTCTGCTACAACTCTGGTCAGCTTGAGGGAAAAAAATATCCTTTGGGCAAATGTTTTAACTACTTTGGAAGTAATTTGTCTAAATTCTGTCTTTTGATTGTTATACTCCCAAAATGAGATAAGCGTAGAGACATTTTTTTATACTCACAAGAAAAAGAATGCATTGCAAGTCATTTTCATTAAATTATATTGTTTTCCCATTGAAATTGCATGAAAGTTTTGTTTTGCTGTAGATTATTATAGTTCAAGCGAGTTTTCAGATAATCTGGAACGTGTGAGAATATCTGAAAACTCGAACTGCCTCAGACTACATTGGCGTGTTTATGAAAGAATCAGCCTTAAAAGTTACTGCACTTTAAAATCGTGTGTGAAGGTTATGGTGAGCATGTGGCCCACAGGGCTGCATGGCTAAGGCGACAATACACCAGCGGTTTGAGCCACACAGAGGGGACAGAGTGAAGAAGCAGGCAGAATAAAAACGGCTTTGACAGAGGCCGTTAAAGGTTAGGCACGTCGCACACATCTCGGAGTCCGAATGGTCATTTACCAGCAGCGTACAGATGCTACTGGAGCGGTGCAGGCCAGAGTGGAAGGTGCGGGAGAGTCTCCTCTAAAGGGCTGAGGTGTCAGCTTCTCTTTGGTGTTGAGTACACCGTGCTAAGCCCTGGCCAGCGATTTCCCACAATCTTCT